CAGTGAAGGAACCGCGATATATTTCCAAGTCAGGATGGTGCGTGGTTTGGAGGCGAACTTGCAGGTGTTCCCATGTTATCTGCTGCCTTCGTCTTTCGAAATGGAAGTCGTCGTGGGATTGGAAGGTGCTGTCTGAGGATCTTTGGTGAAATTCAGCAATGCATCTTGTAGATAGTACACACTGCTACTACTGAATGTCGGTGGTGGAGGGAGTGGATGCTTCTGGATGTGGGTTGCTTTGTACTGGATGGTGTCAGGTTTCTTGAGTGTTGCTGGAGCTGCACTCATCGAGGCAAGTGGGAAATATTCCATCACACTCCTGACTTGTGCACAGCAAGTTCCTGTAGAGAGCAGTGTAATAATAAATTGATAATCTGTTTTTACGATGTTTTATTGAGAAGTAGAATGTGACTAGGAGACTGGGGAGAATTTCCCCGTTCTTCTTCAAATAGTGGCATAGGATCGTTTACAATTTTAAGCCTCAATCAATGGGCTATTATTCATATGTTCCTACATTCTTATCCCTAATCTTCCTTGAGAAGGTGGTTGTAAGCAGCTTTTGCAGTTTGTGTGCTGTGGATACTTCCACAAGATTGTCGGGGAAGGAATCAAATCCAGTGATGGTGCATTCAACTTTCCCATAGTGACTTTCTAGGCCCTTTCAGAGGGTCATATTCTTCCAGACTTGAAGACACATGGAGGCCAAGCCAAGCCAGGACAGGAGAGAAAGTTTTCCCCCCTAAAGGATTGTAGGGAACAAAAATGACACAGTTGATGCTTAGATCGTGCCTTTGACATCATAAAATGTCTTATGGCATTCCACTGAAGTTTTATAGATCAAAATTGGACATCAAGCTGCAGAAGATATTAGCCTAAGGCAAAAGCTCAAAGAGGTGGGTTTTAAGCTGCATTCTAAAGGGTCAAAGGGAAGGAAAAATGTTAGAGAGATTTAAGGAGAGTTCCAGCTCTTCAGTACTCAGCAGCTAAGACACAAACATGAATGGTGGTAAAATCAGGGAAGCTCAAGCTGCTGGAATTTGAGGAGTGCAGGTATCTTGAAGGACTGTGTGACTGGTGGAGGTTACAGACAGAGGGAGCTCAGAGTCCATGGAGGGATCTGAAAATGAGAGATGAGACTTGAAAGTGAAGGTGATACTTGATTGGGAGCCAGTGTACTTCACTGAGCGTCACTGATTGAGAGTTAATGTAAAGGGCAAGGGCAGCAGAACTTTGAGTGTCTCCACATTTAGAATGGGAGACCAGCTAAGAGTGGGTTGGATTGGCCAAGTCTAGAGGTAACAAACAGATGAATGAGGGTTTCAGCGGCAGATGAAAGAATGAAATTGGTGTGGCGGAGGAAGAAATAGACAGGGGCAACGTCTGTATAAAACTAGGAGGATTCTGGGTATAAATCCTTGCGAAAGCTTGAATACAGGAGTAGGAAGAGAAATTACTGCTGGTAGTACCCCAGTTACAAATAGATTAAGAATGGAACCAGTGATCCCTGACTTTCATCGTGTCATATGGCAGTTCCTGTAATTTCCTCGTGTGCTTGTAGGAACACAGATTGCTATCACTCGGAATGATGTCAAACTTATTGGACTGACCTTTAAATTGCTGATATCCACCTTCCAAGTGACCCACTGAAGAGCTGCCAGTGCTGATGGCACACGAATTAAAAGATCAATTGGTTCCATTGCTCATACAGAGTCATGGTAAGCCGGGAATAGGATGGAAGACAATTTTTCAACAGAAAATACAGGTGCATAAAAGTTAGATCCATAGATGTGGAGGTTTGGTGTTAAATTTCATTGCAAGCTGTTCATGAAATACTAAAGTTAATTGATTCTGCGAATTTGAATGGCTGAAATTCAAATTAATTTGAGAATTCTGAGTGCCACGTTAAATTCCTGTGCAGTTTCAGTCAAAGCTAGAAGCTCATCAACAATTGTAAGTTTGATAGTCAAGACTTTTTTTTAAGTCATCAAATATCAACTAGCAAATGGATGGAAGCAGCACCATCTCCTGGGAGATTTTGTTACAAACTTGGCTGGAACTGCAACTGCTGATGGAGGGCATTAGTCATTGAGTGCTCAAACAGTGATAAAGAGGGGACTGGGTCTTATAGTCTCATATCTGTGGAGCAGGGCTTCACTCCTTAATCACAAAAATTCAGCAAATAGTAACTTTTGCATTTATTGCTGGCACTGGGTCCTCATCTATGTTAAGGGATAGTGGAATGCAGGTTCCAGTGTTTTGTTAATGTTAGCCTTGATTAAGTTCTAGGACGTTGAGAAGTAGCCTCTCGGTCAGAGGGCTATTGGTCTAAATTCGACCTCTGAAACTTCAGCATCTAATATAAGCAGACACCAAGTGAATGTTGAGGTGCCATCTTTCAAACGTGTTATTAAACCAGTCAATGCCTCCATTTTACAGTGTCCTAAAACATCCCATGTGGTCAATATTTATACCTCAATCAACATCACAAAAATACAGGTCATCTGGTCACTATCATATTGCTGTCTCAGGGACCTTGTTTTCTGCTGATTGACTCCTGTGTTTCCAACATTTCCACAATTACTGCGTTGACTGTAAAATAAATGTTGATCTGAGGTTGTGACCGGCCCTATATAAATGTAAGTTGTCTTTTTTTATATGTCTTCAATCAGTGCCATTCACATCCCTGACTTACAGAGGGGTAAGCTAGTGCATCACTATACAAAGTGCTTTAATTACATTAAACAAGCAATACAATGAACAGCTATACAAACAGAAGTTCATCACAGAACCAAACCTTGTTACTGCCCCCAGCTCATTTTGGAGACCTCTTGCTCTGCCTGAAATCCACATCCATCTGTTCATACTTGGGAAGAGCTCACTAACTGGCAACGGCCACCCTGTATACTTGCCTCACTGTCTTCGACTGAGCAGTAGTTCTAGTTATTTTGACATTCAGTAACACTGGAGTGTCAGTAACAGCCCATAATATTTGTGATGGCAAGTCACAGAGTGAGACAGCATGGGAACAGACCCATTAGTCCAACTCGTCCATGCCGACCAGGTATCTAAACTGAACTAGTCCTATTTGCCTGCATTTGGCCCATATCCGTCTAAACCTTTCCTATTCATGTACCTGTCCAAATATTTTTTTAAATGTTGTAACTGTACCTACATCTACCATTTCTTCTGGCAGCTCATTCTACACAAGAACCACCCTATGTGTGAAAAAATTGCCTCTCAGGTCTCTTTTAAATCCTTCTCCTCACCTTAAAATTAAACCCTTTAGTTTTGAACGCCTCTATCCTAGAGAAAAAGACCTTTGCTATTTACCCTATCCATGCCCCTCATGATTTTATAAACCTCTATAAGGTCACCCCTCAACCTCCCATGCTCCAGTGAAAAAAAGTCCCAGCCTATTCAGCCTCTCCTTATAATTCAACCGTCCAGTCTCTGTAACATCCTTCTATACGTTTTCTGAACTTTCTCCAGGTTAATAATATCCTTCCTATAGCAGGGCAACCAGAACTGTACACAATACTCCAAAAGTGGCCTCACCAACATCCTGTACAGCCTCAACATTGCTCAGACCATTGAGTATAGGAGCTATGAAGGCAAGTGTGCTAAATGCTTTCTTTGTGGCAGCTGTAATACACAGGAGGCTTGGTTATGTGTGAAATGCACGTTAGGGATGTGAGTAAAAGAGCAGTTTCAGATAGAGCTTTGATGAAAAGGACAGGTTCGTTCATTCATTCACTCAATCTCACAGTACAGGAAGTGACCATTCAGCCTGTTTTACCTCTCCTTGCTCTTTCCCCACAGCCCTGAAAATCCTCCCAATTCAGAGACTTAATTCACTTTGAAAGTTGTTGTTGAAATCTCTATGGTCACTCTTTCAGGTAGTGCGGTCAAGATCATGACTTACTTTGATTTTTAAATAAAAGGGTCCTCATCGCCTGTCTGCTTCTTTTGCAGAGGGTTTTAAATCTGTATTTTTAAACATTTGTTCTCGGGCTGTGGTCATTGCTTTTGAAGCCAGTATTTTGTAGTCAGTCCCTAATTGTCTTTGACAATTAGGCCGTGGTCAACTGCAGCCTTCAACTGCTGTAGTCCACAGGATGGTAGCTACAACTGCAATGCCTTTAGGGAGGGAGTTCCAGGGTTTTGATTCAACGACAGTGAAGGAACAGCGATATATTTCCAACTCAGGATGGTGAATGGCTTGGAGGGAAACTTGCAGGTGGTGGTGTTCCTATGTATCTGCTGCCCTTGACCTTCTAGATGGTAATGGTCGTGGCTTTGGAAGGTGCTGTCGAAGAAGATTTGGTGAAATTCTGCACCTTGTAAATGGTGTCCACTACTACCACTTTGCTCCAGTTATAGCTTAAATCATAAGATTCCGCATTCACTATAGGTCTAATCCCTGTCCTTCACTTCCCATATAGCCTAGATTCAGGAATGGTTTGAGCTGTTGATTGGGAATCAGTTATTTGTTCACTTGGAGTGTTGACGTATCTGACCTGTTTCTAAGTAATCCTTCCATTCATGATTTCAAAGACATGGTGGGGACAGTGGGAGCATTTTCCTTGTAAACCTGGACTTCAGTGACACTATAAAGTAAAGCAGATTCCCAAACAGGGTCCAGTGTGAAACTGGGGTAAAGTGGAGTCTCTCTCTTCTCTTCATTTCTGATCCAGGGCATACCTTCACTTTGCATATCTACTCCAAGAGTTTAGCTGGAGTGTAAAGGCAATCTTACTACATGATGATGCTAGAATTGTACGGATAACATTATGGTGCTGTGAGGAACCTGTCCCTTTGATATTTCTCTCCATTTGCGTTACTTCTGCCCTTGACGGATGAGACTGCACACCAGCAATACAATGTACAAAAATGACCTTACAGCGTAAAGGCTAATGAAATGTGCTGGACCGTGATGGGTTCAAGGTGTACAGAGTCAGTCAGTGACAGAAAGTAACAATGTCTCTAATCTTCCTCTACAGAACAGTGAGTCATTGATTCGACCCTCTGCATTCAAGCCAGTTGTCCCCAAAAGCTTCCACTCTATGCAGAATCTGTGCCCACCACAAAGCAATGGAATGATAGACAGCAGGAAAAGCCTTAATGCCCATCATACCAGTAGTAGCAGCCCTTCAGCTGGGAGAGTCGGACTGGAAAAGGCAGGTCACAGCAGGACTATAAACCACGGAGGAGGTATGTCTGACTCTGGCCGTAACTCACTGACCAGCCTTCCCACGTACGGAACGGGCTACAGCCAGCACATTGGGCCAATGAGCGCTTCGACAAGCCACATAAACCGTCTGGGAACCTCGTACGGAGAGCGGGGAATGCTGAGCTATAATGGAATATCTACCTCCGATAGTGGACGGTCTTCCAGCAAAAGCGTGGCCTCTTTCAACAAACTCAACCACATGCAGGAAACGCTAACATATCACTCGCCATCTAACGATGATATCATTCAGGACCTTGAAGACCGGCTGTGGGAGAAAGAACAGGAAGTTCTCCAAATGAGAAGGAGCCTCGACAAGAGCGAAGCGGCCATCGTGCAAGTCTTTGAGGAGAAGCAGAAGATATGGGAGCGCGAGATGGAGGACTTGAAGCAGAATTACGCCAACAAGCTCCAGCAAGTGTCCAAGAAGGCCCAGAGAGCTCAACAGGCCTTACAGCTTCAAATCTTCAAACTCCAACAGGAGAAGAAGAAACTGCAGGAGGATATTGGGCAGTTGCTGCAGCAGAGAGAAGACCTGGAGAAAAAATGTATGACTTTTAAGAAAGAGCAGTCCGAACTTCTGCCCAAACTGGAAGAGACCAAATGGGAGGTAAGGGACAGTTATCTTGAAATTCCTAAGACGTTGCTAATGATTTCCCATTATATGTTCATGCACTCTGAATGTTACCCACACCAAGGACCATTTGCACCTGAAAATGCCATCGACTGAGCCACTGCAGGTGCTTTACTTTCTGAACTCTCCTGATATGAAATTATTAACTGAGAATGCTTGACATGTAGGACCCTAGTTTTGTTTAATTCACTGTGGGACATAGGCTGGCCAGCATTTATTGCCCATCCCCAGCAGCGACTGATATAACTGAGAGGCTTGCTAGGCCATTTCAGCCTGGAGTTAAGAGTCAACCACATTGCTGTGCGGCTGGAGTCACATGTAGGCCAGACAAGGGAAGGATGACAGTTTCCTTCCCTGAAGGACGTGAGTGAGCCAGATGAGTTTTTTTCCGACAATCAACAATGGTTTCATGGTCATCGGTAGATTCTTAATTCCAGGTATTTTTATTAAATTTAGTTTCCACCATCTGCAGTGGCAGGATTCGAACCTGGGTCGCCAGGACATTAGCGGAGTTTCTAGATCAATAGTCTAGCGATAATAGCTTGCCCATCGCCTCCCCCTAGTGCACTGATTCATCTCGTACCAGTCTGCATGGTGCAATAAACTAGAGTGTGGCTGTTATCAATTCAAGTATAGGATTCATACAGCTTCATGCTCTATAAGATTGGCCTTAATGCATTATGAAGACCCAAGCCATTTGCACACCATGTGAGCTTGATACTGAACTAGGCCACATCAAAGCCATCCAGCAAGACAATGTTTTCCTTGATTAGATCAGTACCCTCACTGTATATTGTGCCAACTCATGAACAGGCCTAAGCCCACCAGCTCTGGGAAAGTGCCCAGCTCCCTCTGATTACTCTGGGAGGTTGAGCTATCTCAAAATGTTAGCAACAGTTTCACCCTGCTACTATACAGTAGCAACAGGAGTGGCATTCACCAATACCAGGACACTGTTGTCAGGTATAAAAGACATTCTGCTTGTGCCAACCACAGCAGTCAGGAATTTAGGCTATAGTTTTCAATGTGGTTGTTTTGGTACATGATGCAGGAACTTTTCACAGTGAGTGGACATAAAATGAGAAGTCATTGCAAACTCAATGGGAATCAGACCTCAAGCAGATTTCTCCTCCTTTCTCTACACTTAAAAGAACATAAACTAAGTTTCTGCACCCCGTCTTTATAAATTAAACATATGTAGAACATTACAGCATAAGAACAGGCCCTTCAGCCCACCATGTCTGTGCCAACATGATGCCATTCTAATCTAACCCCATCTGCCCTTTTAACCCTGTTTAGTCTATTCTCCAGAGTGTAGAAAAAAATGACAGGGCAATATTATTGAAGTATTCAAGATTCTGAAGGGGATTGATAGAATAGACACTGAGAGACCATTCCCTGGTCAGCAAATGTGAAATACAGAAGCACGGTCTCAGGATAAGGGGCCAAATGCTTAGGACTGACATGAAGAGAAATTACTTCACTCAAAGGGTTCTGAATCCTTGGAATCCATTGGTGAATGTATTTAAATCTGGAATAGACAGAATTTTGGTCTCTTGGAGAATCAGGGGGCATGTGGAGTGGGTAGGAATATGGAGATGAAGGTCAAGATCAGCCATGATCATATTGGCCAGAGCTCAAGACTTGACAAGATGGTACAACACAGACAGAGCTCATTCAGTCCTTTGTGCCTGGCAATGGCCTAGTGGTATTATCACTGGACTGTCAATCCAGAGACCAAGGTAACATTCTGGGGATCTGGGTTCAAATCTCACCATGGCAGCTGGTGGAATTTGGATTCAATAACTAGCTGGAATTAAGAGTCCAATGATGATTGTGAATCCATTGTCAACTATTGGGGGAAAAACCCATCTGGAAGGAAATTGCCATCCTTACTGGGTCTGGTATATACGTGACTCCAGACCCACAGCAATGTGGTTGACTCTTAACTGCCTGATGGGCAATAAATGCTGCCTAGACAGTGATGTCCTCGCCCCATGAATGAATAAAAGAGCTATCCACTGTCTCACTCTTTTACATTAAGGGACAGTTCAATAAAATGCAGTGACAGACACTTAAGGAGATATTTCAAAAGGCACAGAATAGACACAAGCCAACAAGAAAGGAAAAATATAAAAGACAGGACTCATGATCCATGGTTAACCAAAAAGGTTAGAGGAAGTTTCAAACTCAGAGATAACCCATATAAATCATTATTTGGTTGTACAGAATTTGAATATTGCTGAAAAAGATACTCTTTTTCTAGTGTACTCTGATGGGAAGCTGTTAATGTAATTCATTAGAACATAGAACATAAAACAATACAGCGCAGTACAGGCCCTTCGGCCCTTGATGTTGCGCTGACCTGTGAAACCAATCTGAAGCCCATCTAACCTAAACTATTCCATTATCATCCATATGTTTATCCAATGACCATTTAAATGCCCTTAAAGTGGGCGAGTCTACTATTTTTGTAGGCAGGGCATTCCACGCCCTTACTACTCTCTGAGTAAAGAACCTACCTCTGACATCTGTCCTATATCTATCACCCCTCAATTTAAAGCTATGTCCCCTCGTGCTAGCCATCACCATCCGAGGAAAAAGGCTCCCACTGTCCACCCTATCTAATCCTCTGATCATCTTGTATGTCTCTATCAAGTCACCTCTTAACCTTCTTCTCGCTAATGAAAACAGCCTCAAGACCCTCAGCCTTTCCTCATAAGACCTTCCCTCCATACCAGGCAACATCCTGGTAAATCTCCTCTGCACCCTTTCCAATGCTTCCACATCCTTCCTATAATGCGGTGACCAGAACTGTACGCAATACTCCAAGTGCGGCCGCACCAGAGTTTTGTACAGCTGCAACATGACCTCATGGCTCCGAAACTCAATCCCTCTACCAATAAAACCTAACATACTGTACGCCTTCTTAACAACGCTATCAACCTGGGTGGCAACTTTCAGTGATCTATGCACATGGATACCGAGATCTTTCTGCTCATCCACACTACCAAGAATCTTACCATTAGCCCAGTACTCTGTATTCCTGTTACTCCTTCCAAACTGAATCACCTCACACTTTTCTGCATTAAACTCCATTTGCCACCTCTCAGCCCAGCTCTGCAGCTTACCTATGTCCCTCTGTAACCTGCAACATCCTTCCGCACTATCCACAACTCCACCGACTTTGGTGTCATCCACAAATTTACTAACCCATCCTTCTACGCCCTCATCCAGGTCATTTATAAAAATGACAAACAGCAGTGGCCCCAAAACAGATCCTTGAGGTACACCACTAGTAACTGAACTCCAGGATGAACATTTCCCATCAACCACCACCCTCTGTCTTCTTACAGCTAGCCAATTTCTGATCCAAACCGCTAAATCACTCTCAATCCCATGCCTCCGTATTTTCTGCAATAGCCTACCATGGGGAATCTTATCAAACGCTTTACTGAAATCCATATACACCACATCAACCGCTTTACCCTCATCCACCTGTTTGGTCACCTTCTCGAAGAACTCAACAAGGTTTGTGAGGCACGACCTACCCTTCACAAAACCGTGTTGACTATCCCTAATCAAATTATTCCTTTCTAGATGATTATAAATCCTATCTCTTATAATCCTTTCCAACAGTTTACCCACAACCGAAGTAAGGCTCACTGGTCTATAATTACCAGGGTTGTCTCTACTCCCCTTCTTGAACAAGGGGACAACATTTGCTAGTCTCCAGTCTTCTGGCACTATTCCTGAAGACAATGACGACATAAAGATCAAAGCCAAAGGCTCTGCAATCTCCTCTCTAGCTTCCCAGAGAATCCTAGGATAAATCCCATCCGGCCCAGGGGACTTATCTATTTTCACACCTTCCAGAATTGCTAACACCTCCTCCTTATGAACCTCAATCCCGTCTAGTCTAATAGACTGTATCTCAGTCTTCTCCTCGACTACATTGTCTTTTTCCTGTGTGAATACTGATGAAAAATATTCATTTAGCACCTCTCCTATCTCTTCGGACGCCACGCACAACTTCCCACTACTGTCCTTGACCGGCCCCAATCTTACTCTAGTCATTCTTTTATTCCTAACATACCTATAGAAAGCTTTAGGGTTTTCCTTGATCCTACCTGCTAAAGACTTCTCATGTCCCCTCCTGGCTCTTCTTAGCTCTCTCTTTAGGTCCTTCCTGGCTAACTTGTAACTCTCAAGCGCCCTAACTGAGCCTTCACGCCTCATCTCTACATAAGCCTCCTTCTTCCTCTTGACAAGTGATTCAACTTCTTTAGTAAACCACGGTTCCCTCGCTCGACCACTTCCTCCCTGCCTGACAGGTACATACTTCTCAAGGACATGCAGTAGCTGTTCCTTGAACAAGCTCCACATTTCAATTGTGCCCAGCCCCTGCAGTTTCCTTCTCCATCCTATGCATCCTAAATCTTGCCTCATCGCCTCATAATTGCCTTTCCCCCAGCTATAACTCTTGCCCTGCGGTATATACCGATCCCTTTCCATCGCTAAAGTAAACGTAACCGAATTGTGGTCACTATCACCAAAGTGCTCTCCTACCTCCAAATCTAACACCTGGCCTGGTTCATTACCCAGTACCAAATCCAATGTGGCCTTGCCTCTTGTTGGCCTATCTACATACTGTGTCAGGAAACCCTCCTGCACACATTGGACAAAAACTGACCCATCTGAAGTACTCGAACTATAGCGTTTCCAGTCAATATTTGGAAAGTTAAAGTCCCCCATAACAACTACCCTGTTACTTTCGCTCCTATCCAGAATCATCTTTGCAATCTTTTCCTCTACATCTCTGGAACTTTTCGGAGGCCTATAGAAAACTCCCAACAGGGTGACCTCTCCTTTCCTGGTTCTAACCTCAGCCCATACTACCTCAGTAGACGAGTTGTCATCAAATGTCCTTTCTGCCACCGTAATACTGTCCTTGACTAACAATGCCACACCTCCCC